ATTAACGGGTTAACTCTGAGAATCAATTTCTCATTCACCCTTTACCATTTTTGGCGTAATATTTGTCAAAACATTTATCTCATTTAAGAGAACACACGTCCATTAATTAACGGTTAAAACCGTTAGTGGACCTATTAACAAATATACCCAAATTGGTCCATTTAATGCCTATTAAAAATGCCAAAAATTCCAACAATCCCCCACATGAATGAAAAATTGATTTGGGGTCGACAACATCCCACGGTTGAAAACCTGCACAGAACATGTAAGTGTCTCTACTTTTGAACATGTCCTTTGTAAAGTATACCTTCTTTACTGGCTGTTCAGTAGAACGCGATGTCTTTGAACTGTACTGCCGCTTGTGTAAACGATAGTATACAATACACAGATTCCAACCAAACGCCGTTCTGTTCTCATGGTTGTGCCCATTTTGGTCGTGGGACACGCGCTTGGTTCTGCGAGAGTGTTTAGAGGATTAAGCCCAGGATCCTCCGTTTGAAGCGACCACACTTCACTCTTACATAGGTGATTCTTTAAGAGTATCCCGATTACTCCCCTTAGACCACTGTGTCTATTGGTTAAGAATCATTAAAGCATATTTACATGCTAACCTCATCATTTTCGGGAATCACCGTCTTCAGCAGGAATAGAAGGGACTGACCGAAGGTTCCGGTACCGCCCCCACAGTGACACTGCTTTATCCTACAAGTAGGTTGTCCCATTGAACCTGGGTACCAGCCAGGTTGGGTTTTCCTTCATAGGACTGTCCTAGCACAAGGGCTTCAAACCCATTCCTGCCTCCAACTTCTCATGCAACTCATTTGTTAACCGTTTGGTTAGCGGATCCGCCAGATTATCTTTTGACTTCACATAGTCAATTGTAATAATCCAGTTGTGAGAAGTTGTCTAATGGTTTTGTGTCTACGACGAACATGTCTAGACTTACCATTATACATGTTACTCTTTGCACGTGTTCTTATGTATTTCTGAATCATCAGACCTATACACTAAGAATCGATACGCGCTACCACTCTAGCCAATAAAGATTCCATCAACGGTCTTTGGAACAATCTTTATTTTCTTTGGTGGTGGTGCTAAAACTTTTGCAAGGCACCCCCACACTTTCAGGTATTTATAGGAAGGTTTCCTATTATACCACAACTCATAAGGAGTCTTAACGAGTTTCTTTCGGAGTATTTTATTTAACAAATAATTGCTAGATAAAATAGCCTCCTTTAGGACCAATTTTCTTCTTATCCTTTTTTGGCTTAGGCCCTTTGGAAGAACCCTCTTTGGGTGGATGCTCCACCACATTTGCCTAAAGTGTTGGCTCATCTGCGTTCTACCCCACAACAGGGGGATCCTCCCTCAAATACCTCGCAAGGTTGAGGGTGGTCAGCCAAAATAACATCCTTTGCTGCCATATTTTAAGCCAACACCTGTGAACTTTGCCGGTTCTTTGACAGAGTTCGCAGGCAGCATAACAGTAGGATGTCCGACCGGTGCGGATGTGAACACACCCGTGTTCGGCCCAAGTGAGGGAATGACCGGTATGGCCGAAGCCATATTCGGTCCGAGTGGGGTGACCATTGCGGTCGTAGCCGCGATTGGTCCAATAACCGAGGTGACCGGAGCGGACTCCATAGTCGCGCTCGATCCAACGAAGGTGGTGATCGGAGTGGACCCCATGGCCGCACTCGATCCGTAAGGAATGTTGATCGGAGTGGTCTGCCCTATAGAGCCACCCAATCCAGCCGAAACGTTCACAACCGGAGTCTCGAAACTACTCCTGTTTCCTGTGTGAGCGTCAAAACCGAATCCGTCCATACCCGCCATTGCGCACGGATATGACTACTACCTTAAGATTGTTATAATTTTTGTACGGATTACAACGGACGGGAAAGATGAACGGCCCCGGTAATAAAAATAAATAAAATTCTGAATTTATAACTTATTCAGAATATTACAAAATAAAAAAGAATAGAAATTAAATTTCTATATCTTCTAAAAAAGTCTCGTTGTATGAGGACAGTAAACACTGGACAACGAGGTCATTATGCACTAGACAGCAAGGTCATTATGCACTAGACAGCAAGGACGTCATGCACTGGGCTGCAAGGACATTATGCACTGGACATCAAGGACATTATGTCCTAGGGCAGAATGCAGCGAGGTCTTTATGAGCTGTACCTGCAAAAACAAAACACCGTGGAAGGACAGCGGAGTCGCCGGAGCTGTCCTTAAGGTAGTAGTGCCCGCCTACCGTACCGGAAAAACGTGGGCACTCTCCTCCCAGGATAAAACCGCTATCGTGTGTGGAGATTGTACGGATCAACCACACACCAACNACACTGGACAACGAGGTCATTATGCACTAGACAGCAAGGTCATTATGCACTAGACAGCAAGGACGTCATGCACTGGGCTGCAAGGACATTATGCACTGGACATCAAGGACATTATGTCCTAGGGCAGAATGCAGCGAGGTCTTTATGAGCTGTACCTGCAAAAACAAAACACCGTGGAAGGACAGCGGAGTCGCCGGAGCTGTCCTTAAGGTAGTAGTGCCCGCCTACCGTACCGGAAAAACGTGGGCACTCTCCTCCCAGGATAAAACCGCTATCGTGTGTGGAGATTGTACGGATCAACCACACACCAACGAACAAGAACAACGTAGGAACGTTGGCGACCAAAAAAACTTTAAAGGGGATGGCCGGAAATTTGGCCGGAAAACCAAGAGCTCTCTCAAAAAATAAACAAGAAAGATTTTCTTTCTTTTTCTTTTTGTTTCTCACGTGAAGCACATAAGGAAAATGGAGAGGAGCCATTTGATTTTATAACTAAGGTGTTTAAAATGTGTAACTCCTACACCATTAACCCTTAGAATTAATCATGGCATTTGTGGCACACTTAATACCGTGTTAATGGTGATTAATTAGCCATTAACACGTCCGTTACGCTACGCTCCATTTAAAATTTGTCCCGAATAATTGGAGATTAATGGCCAGTTAACTCCGTAAGAAAGGACTAATTTTAAACAATACGTAAAATTAATAAAAGAAGATTGGTTCAGTAAAACTGCAAAAATTGCAATCCTCACCATATTCTTTAATTAACGGGTTAACTCTGAGAATCAATTTCTCATTCATCCTTTACCATTTTTGGCGTAATATTTGTCAAAACATTTATCTCATTTAAGAGAACACACGTCCATTAATTAACGGTTAAAACCGTTAGTGGACCTATTAACAAATATACCCAAATTGGTCCATTTAATGCCTATTAAAAATGCCAAAAATTCCAACAATGGGAAGAATAAGAAATGTATACTTGTAGTTAACTTTTCAATTTTGCTCTTAAAGTAATGGGTAAAAGTAAGATGTGATAGTAGATTCTTAATAAAAAAGTATGATGTGAAAAGTAACATAAGAAAAACTATGGGTAAAAGTAGGCTTTTAATAGAAAGCGAAAATGTTTTAGGGAAAGATAAAAACATAAAAGAGTAAGGATTTTGGTAAAGTGAGGAAGTACAGAATATGAATATAATTTTTTTATGCTACAAAATATTATATTTTTTCCTAAATTTAAAACAAAAAATTAGAATTTTATATGCATAGTTTTCATGAGCACTATCTTTGAGTCCAAGTTGCATGACACTTAGTGGTGGTGTGGAAATTAAAATTTTGGTTTAGACAAGCTATGGCTATGGCTCCACGCGGTTATGTCATGATGAGCACTATCAAACGTGAAAAATGTGAAAAGACTATCAAATGACATGTTGCAATAATAATAATAATAATAATAATAATAATAATAATAATATGAGAGAAAATATTTTATATACTGAATTATCTTAGAAATTACAAACGTCCAATCCTCTTTAATTATATAGGAAAAGGATAAATCAAACAAGTAAGCTTTTATTCCTAACATAAATTTATTCCCACTATAACAAGAATAGAAAAAACTAAGAAAGTCACCAAACCGAATCACAAAGAGATTGACTTCCCTTTTCTATCTATCTATCTATCTCTCTCTCTCTCTCTCTCTCTCTCTCTCTCTCTCTCTCTCTCTCTCTCTCTCTCTCTCTCTCTCTCTCTCTCTCTCTCTCGGTTATGGGCCATTCCCCGCATTGGAGCGCGTTGGCCCCGTGGCTTACCGGCTGCAGCTTCCGCCAAACAGTCGCATCCACGTACAATGTCTTTCACGTTTCCTTGTTGCGGCCGTTCGTCCAACATGGCACCACCTTACCATCGTTTGCCCTTCTATCCGACTTCTTTAAGGGCCGTCTGGTGTCGGTTCCACTCAATGCCGTCGCAGCATGCACAATTCTAGTGGCTAGACAAGCTAGCCCAAGATCATTTGTTAATTCGTTGGTCAGATGGTGGCCCGAAAGATAGCCCATGGGAACTAGTTGATGACATCCGCCGCCACTAGCTGGATCTCGGCCTTGAGGACAAGGCCGTTGCCAACCCTGGGGGAGTTGATACGGGGGACATGGACACACCCCGTATGCATGACGAACCATGTGAAGCCGTTGTCTCGCATGCCCGACCAAAGAGGATCGTTCAACCTCCGAGACGTTATCAAGATTATGTTTAATTAATTTTGTATTTCATTTATTTATTATTGTACTATAGATTTTATTAGGTGAGCGAATTATAAGCTCTTTCGAGGGTTTCCTTTCGGTTCTTGAACCGACAGAATAGATAACCTAGTTCAAGTAGGATTGGGGAAAGTTGTTACTATTTAAGGGAGTCTTATTCTCTCTTTTCCTTAAGAAATAACAAACCCTTTCTCCTAAAAACTATCTCTCTCTCTCTCTAAACCCTCTCCCTCTCTCACGTTCTCTCTCTCTCTCTCTTCCCAAGCCCTAGCCGCGCACACCTCGTGCCTCAGCCAAACGTAGGAGCTGCCCAACCGTATCACCCCTCAAGTTGGAGCGTGAAGATAAAGAGTGCCCAGCTTGGACAACACATAATCAAACGATCTTTGTTCAAATGTCATCTGAAAACTTCAACAAAAAAATTTTCTTCATCATTGACGGAGACAACACTCTTTTCGAATCTGTCGAATAATCAATCGAGTAAAGGAACATCACTCTTTTTGAATCTCATTGAATTCAAACGAACATGATGAACATCATTTTTTAAAATTTTTGTCATGAATAAATTGTCCTCATTTTGTAGAATAACCCTTGTTGGACAATTTCTTCACGAGTCATATATATTTTTCATTGAGAAGGATATCCATCTAAGGATGACGGGAGTAACTTGCAGCCAAAGAGACCTTGATAATTGGTTCGGCACTTTCCACAAACCAATGTGGATTTGTTTCTGCGCCAAGGTGATGTGTCATGGGTGGAAAGAGAATGGAATGATACCGATTCTTGTAATTCAACATGGGTAAGCTTTATAATTTGAGGTGTTGCTGGTTTCGAGGGTTTGGTAGTGGTAAGGACTTTGGATTGGATGAAGAACTGAACAACGACACGACGGGCGGCTAATGGTTGCCCCGCCCACCAGGAGCGAAGACACAAAATTGTAGGTCGGCCTCCGAGAACTTTGCTCCGATACCATGTAGGAAATAGTAATGTAGAATAATTATATATTTAAATGTCTTATGGAATATATTGGTCCCCTATTTTATACCTCTCTCGTAAGATATATTAAATTTTATAATAACTAATTATTTAAAACTATATTTAATTTATGGTCAAAATATTGCAACATTTGACCAAAAAAAAATCAAATTCTAGTAATATTTTTGGAGGGAGGGGTATGTGCTTTACTGATTTTGCAACTATTTTTGGATGGAGCAGCCCGGCGGACTGTCTGGTCTATATGGGTAAAACTTTGAGCCCGTTTGATCTGGCCCAGGCCTATCCAGAAAAATGGGTCCTAACTAATTTTAAAGCCCAATCAGAATCCGAGCCGTGTTGGTGCAAAGTGTAATTAAAATGGACATAAATGAACCCCCAACTACATTACTTACTATCAAAATGGACCCACTCTATTACTATCATCATCATCATCATCATCATGCAAATGCAACCAGCTGCAACTGTTTTTTTTAACACGGCGCTCTAATCAAAGCAACTGGCACCCCTTTCTTTCCCCTCTCTTTTATTTTTCCGCCGCCCCTATAACTTGAATTAGTCCTCCCCATCATACCGGCATCTTTTTTTAGCGGGTTTAGTTCTATAAAAATCTTACTCCCTCCGTCCCGCTATATTCGTCCACTTTTGACTTTTGGAACTGTTCATCGAAGCACTTTGACTCATCAAATTCTCTCAATGTGTAAGCCTAAATATAATCATGTGTGATCTTGTTTGATTTGTCTTAACATATAGATTCTTAATATATAAATTATATAATTTTTTAATATACAAATTACAAGATAAAATGGATTAAAGAAGTGTATTGGATGATGTGCAAAAATGAAAGTGGACAAATATAGTGGGACGGAGGAAGTATTACTCATATTCGACCCTATATCCGTTATTTAATTAAATTAAAAGGTCGGAGTGTATGACAAGTAGTTCCGACCCATTTAAATTCTGAATCACTTAAATAGATACAAAATATACATATAGGGAACTTGTAATGTTACACCACTTCAAATGATGTAATGTTCTGACACCATTGATTTTAGTGTACTTACAGTGTTCCGTTCGTAAAATTGATGGTTCTTAATTACCCTTCAATTCCCGACTCATCAATTTCACCTCGCCCGCACCCCCGGCCCCAAATCGTGATCTGGGGGGAGGTGCAAGAGAGGCTGGGGGCGAGGTGAAATTGATGAGTCAGGAGGTTTGGGGGTGGTTTAGGGGTAAGGACCACTGAGGATAAGTGATTTTATTGAATAATGAAGAATAAATCCATATACATGAAATACAAGAGAGAATTCTATTCATTGTAGTCCTTGCATTACCCAAAACTAATTTAAACAAAGCTCAATTCCATGATTCTAGTTAGGCTCATGATTTTTTTTTTTTAAATTCTAGCTTTGCAAATATGGTCACTTCAATTTTTGCACGTGATAACTTTTATTTTTAAAACTCGGATGGCGGTAAAGTTCATAGTTATGACCTTTAATTTTGGTCAACCACAATGCCGTTGATACTATATAAAACAAAATCAATTCAACCAAAAGCTTAACTTTATGATTGTGAATCAATTCAAGAAGATTTTTTTATAAAGTTTGGGTTGGGCATCATCATGTAGTATGAATTTGGAGTAAGAAGTAAATGTTGACCTTCAAATTGGCAGCTAAGACTGGGCATGATATTGTGAGTTAGATGTGGACTGAGTGTGTAGAGAGGCGTGTTCCCATTTCCCATTATTGTTTTGGCATTAAAGAAGGTCTGTGCATTGGCAATTCCAAAATTCATTAAAGAAAAGGTCTCACCATTTGGACCAAATGAGTGTCCCACACGGTGACCCTACCCTACACCCACTCCCTTAGCTTATATACCCCTCCAAACCTCACCACGTAACTTACCATTTTGTTATCCCAAACCAAACTACCAAACCAATTCAATCAATTTCCTCCACTGCCCTTTATTACTTGAATTGCCTTCTTCTTCCTGTCCTACAATATACTACAAATCTCCTCTTCTTCTCCAACTCATCTTCTTCAGTTCATCTTCTTCTTGGAGAAATCAAACATATATAATGGAGTTCCTCGCCGGCAAATCCATCCTCATCACTGGCGCGACTGGCTTCCTTGCTAAAGGTGCGTCGTCGTATAAAATCATTTCCTGAGCCTACAGCTTTAAGCTTAAAGTTTTGGCTGGCTTGGTTCTTTGACAATATACATGCACTAGCTCTCTTTCTTCCAAGATTCATCTTTAATTAATCATATTATATTAAGCAGATTTGCTTTATTATTATTATGATTATTACTATGATTATTGTTGTTGTTATAATATTATTATATCTGAATGCATGCAGTGCTGGTAGAGAAGATACTTCGGACTCAACCGGATATCAAGAAGTTGTTCCTTCTTATTAGAGCCTCCGACTCCGAATCTGCCCGCAAAAGATTTCATACCGAGGTATATCTTATTTGAATATAAAAACATTTGCAGAGTCTGAGTATAATCATAAACTTGAGTTTCTTGATTGAATTGATTTTTTGACATGATATGAGAGTCTTAGTCTTGTACAGTGTTTGGTCAAAAAAACATCCTTAGTTTTTTTTCCTAAGCCGTCTTCATTTTAATTATTGTTTTTTATTTATAAAATTTGAATTTATTAGTTTGCTTTATTAGTTATATTCTCCATCCCAAAATGATTCATTTTTACTATTTAAGCCTCCCGATAGTTTTTGTTTTTCATTAGTTATTTGATAAAATAAAGTAGGTTTTCTAATGTTTAACAATAGAAAATTCTAAAATGCACTGCTTTTGAGAAAAAATGACATATTACAATATTCATGTACAATAAGACATTATTAAAAACAATTTGAATAATAATTAAAATGATTAGTCATTATTCAACACTTGTTACTAATGATCACATTTGTAGAGTCATCTGTATAATCAGTCATTATCCAACACTTGTTGGTAATGAGAGATCATATTAAATTATGTGCCATAAGGGTAATAACACATACTTTGTCTTATTCAGAAAAACGTACTATTTTTTAGTCCTAAATGGAGCAAATTTTTCAATAAAACATTCTTGGCTCGTCTTATTTTATAGAAGTTTTTTTTATAATTTTTAAATATTTAATTTATACTTTTTATTTATATATCAATTTATAGATAAACCCATTTTAGAAAAGATATTCTTAGGAGGAGGAAGTATATACACCTAGATATTTGAGCTCCAACTAAATTTCTCGGGAAAAGGATGTGTGGGTTTTCTTGAAAAGTCAAACCCCTCATTTTTTTCCCTAATAAAATCTCCTTCTCAAATTTTATTTTAGCATTTGGAAGAAGAGTAATTATATTTAATTTATTTAATTTATTTAATTATGAGATTTTTAAGTGTTCTTTATATATATTTCTAAATAATGCATAACGGTATTCATGCCGTGTACCTGTTACTTTTTTTCAATTAATTTTTTGGAGGGCTAACAGATTAGTGTAATTTCAATTACTCAATTATTTCTCCGTCTTCATGTTCCGTTGACGACGTTTCCTTTTCAGACAATGATCTTCAATGAAAAAGTACGAGTAGTTGGGGAAGATATATCCCATTATATTGTTTTACCAAATTTATACGCCACAATCTAAAGTATTCTACGCGTACAATTTATTCTTTTTGTTTATATACATATCATTTTTTCCCAGTGTAACGATAAAAATGTTTAACGCTCCGTTTGGTACACAGAAATCAAGTCGTGAAATTAGATATGAAGCTTTCAATTTAGGTGTTTGGTTACACCAAAATATGTGAATTTGGAATTGGTAGTGCAAAAGAAAAATGAAAATTGGAGAATTAAATTTCATCGAATTCAATTCTATAGAATTTTAACTCAAATTCAATTCAATCAATTCTTCATACCAAATAGACCCTAAATTTATTTTATAAAGTCTAAAGTCAAAATATTGGTGCATTTACCGACCTTATTGAATTGGCACAAATTCTTCTAGTGTATTAAATTTGGAATTTCGGTAACTTGGATTGTGTACCTTATTTTGTTCACCTAAATTTTGAATAAGCCTTGCTCGACCAATAAATTGTTACACCAAATTCTTGTTTTCAATCAACTAACTATTTTATAGCAGTTTTTAACGGGTACAATTATGTAGTGCACAAAAGTGAAGTTTAAGGAATCCAATGTTGTGTGCATTAAATATGAATCACCATTTAGTTAACAAGTTCAACATATTAAGATTGTTGTTTAATTTATTGGTCCATTAAAGCACCTTAAATATAAAGTTCACTATTACATATTGTTAGAAAAACCCTTTTAAATATGACTAATACAAGAAGACTGATTAATTAATTAATAAGTTATTAAACACATGCATTTTCAGGTTTTGGACTGTGAACTGTTCAGAGTTTTGAGAGACAAATACGGCGGCAAGTTCAACGCTCTCGCGGAGGAGAAGGTGTTTCCGGTGGCCGGCGACATTTCCTTCAAGGATTTGGGAATTGAAAATGCTGACCAAATCCTGGAAGAAGTTGACTTTATCATCAACTCAGCTGCAACAACTGTATTTGATGAGAGGTATATAAAAATATTTTATTCATAGAAAAAATCATTATTTTATTTTTTTTCCCATTGTTAAATAAAAATGTAACTAATTATTATGGGTACTGATATGGTAGGTATGACGTTGCAATGAGCATTAATACATTGGGTGCAATAAATGTTTTGAACTTTGCCAAGAAATGCCTCAAACTGAACATGATTGTTCATGTGTCCACCGGTACGTTTAAAAATTCTCCTCCATTTAATATTCACAATAGTTAGTAAATATTTTATTTATTGGCGTGTAAAGTTAGAGTAAAAATGAATGCATTTACTCGGTAAAATTAAAACAAGGCAATCAAGTAAATTTGATGTGGTGAATTTTTATTTTTTTTAACCACAATTATTGTGATTTTGTGGGTGCATTAAATAACACGTACGTACGTTGCATGTGGGCGGTTGGTTTGCAGCTTATGTGTGCGGTGACAGAAGTGGGAGTGTGCCAGAGAGCCCATTTCGGCTGGGGGACACTGTAAATAATGGGGACACTTGCTTGGACATTGATGAGGAGAAGAGGGTTATTGAGGAGAAATTAATGGAGCTTAAATCTCAAGAGGCCACTGATAAACAAGTCAGAGTGGCCATGAAAATCTTGGGGATTGAAAGGTACAATTTTTTTTACACTTTGCTTAATTATGAAACACTCAAAAATGAATGAATGTAGGCATAACGTATCACTGCATTCATTCATTTTTAAATGTATTTTGAAAACTGTAACTAACCAAATTTCTTTTAACCAAATTTCAACTTGTCTTTTATTACGAGTATTTTTTTAAAGTTTTTTCTAGTTTAAGCTTTGTAAAATCAACATTTGCAAATTAGTTTGAGAGGGAAGGAGCATGTTGTCACACATGTGGTACCATTTTATTATTTTAATATTTAAAGACTATTTTATGAAGTGTTGTTTGGTCTAGTCCATTTCTTGAAATTTGGGTCTATAATTTTTTTCTTAGCTTTGTTTTAACCAAATTTCAACTGCTCCCCTTTTTTAATTTTTTAAAATTTTTTTCTAGCTTATACTTTGTAAAATCAACATCAGCAAATTAATTTGGTATAGAGGGAGTACGCTATGACATGTGTTATACCATTTGATTATTTTAATATTTAAAGACTAATATATGAGGTGCTGTTTGGTCTAGTCAATTCCTTGAAATGAAATTTGAGAAAAGAGAAATAATTTCTTAATACTCCCTCCGTTCCACAAAACTTTTCACCTTTCGTTTTTTTGTTTTCCACAAAACACTTCCACTTTCTATTAAAAAACCACTTTTACCCCTACTTTTTCATACTCTACCTATCACATCATACTTTTTCACTAATAACCAAACTATAACATCTTACTTTTTCTCATCACATCAGGGATAAAATTGGAAAGTCAACCAAAATTACACTTTCCTTATGTTTGTCCAAAGTCAAAATGGGAATGGTTTTGTGGAACGAAGGGAGTACATGACAATCAAAGGGTCAATGCATTGAGTATAATTTGTTACATATATATTTGTGTGTGTAGGGCAAAGCTCCATGGATGGCCAAACACTTACTCATTCACAAAAGCAATGGGGGAAATGTTATTACTAAAGCATAAGGAGAATCTATGTGTTGTCACGTTGCGCCCAACAATTATTACAAGCACTTACAAAGAGCCTTTTCCTGGATGGATTGAAGGCGCAAGGTATGTTTAAGTATTTATTTAATTCGTCCAAAATATTCGCCTAATTACTAGGTTACTCATTATGTTTTAACTTTTTTGCATCTTCTAAATCAAATTAAACAATTATGCTTGCATGACAGGACCATGGATATCTTTGTATTGTTGTATGGCAAGGGAAAAGCAAATTTCATGATGGGTGATCCCGACTCAATTCTCGATGCGGTATGTGTAACGAATTTCATGTATACTAATATAGCCAGAAAACGATAATATAAAATTCTATACAGAGGGAGTGCATGTTTGTTTGCTTGTTTCTTTTTTTCCAAAAATTATAATTGTTGAACGCAAACGGTAAATTACAGATTCCAGGAGACATGGTGGTGAACTCCATACTGGCGGCAGTTGCTCACCATGGAAGCGGTGGCGATCACCACCAGCGCCGGAAATATAGTGACAAAGAGATGATATACCACGTCGGCTCATCCTCTACCAACCCTTTGAAGATTTTGGACCTCCGAAATTACTTGTTTAGCTACTTCACCCACAACCCTTGGACTACAAAGACTGGGGAGGTTGTCAAAGTCTCTAAACCCGTCTTGCTCACCAGCTTGAAAGACTTGCGCAGATACATTTCCATTCGTTATCTCCCCATCATCACGGTACGTATATATTGATTTATAAATAAATGTTTTTTTCATAATTTGTAGTCAAAATTTAAAAAACATTGATCGTAAAAGTTTAAAGAAATTGAGAGAGATAGAATAATAAATACGTAAGAGATGGTTGTTGGTGGAATCATGATTATATATAATCTTTTATCCTAATCACTTAGGATTAGGATTATGGGTCTTTTAATGGCTAGCTAGTTCATTACCGGCATTCCTTATCAGGTAGTGTTACGGGTCAACCGAATTGACGTGTGTAGCCTCTGTTTTTATGCATGCATGCACATAAAGTTAGACAAAGTTACGTTGAGTGTCTCTATTACAACAAATTAAATTAGGTTTGATTTAACATGTTTCCCTTTTGGACAATTTTGTTTTACAAAGGTGTTGAAGTTGTTGAACGTGGTACTCTTCCATTATTTCGAAGAGAAGTGTGTGACTGTTGAGAAAAAGATCAATTTGGTCATGCGGATTGCTGAACTCTACAAGCCATACTTGTTCTTTTATGGAAGGTATAATTTTACAGCACATTTTTTTATGGTTCTTATTCCTCTTTTGTATATATGTCACATTATCTTTGCTTAACAGAAAATTTTTAAGCAAAAATAACGTGACATGGTATGTGTATCACTTTTTCATGTCTCGAGAATCGGTGAATAGAACGATGTAGTGATTAATTCATTTAATTACTTTATGTGGATTTTGCAGCTTTGATGAGACGAACACGAGGAGATTGAGGAAGGCTATTGCAGAAAAAAATATGGCGGAAACCCTATATTTCGATGCACAAGGCATTGTTTGGGAAGATTACTTCAATAACACCCACATTCCCGGAGTTGTAAAATATGCCTTCTAATAATATTAATAATAATTACAGAGTGATTATATAGTCATCACTCTCAAATTAGTAGTTTTTATAATTTGTCCAAAATCGATCTGTATGTGTAATTGGTCGAGTTGACGATTATCAAGAGTCCTCCGTTCCAATACTTACGTAACTAAATAGCTCAATTTCATCTACCATTAGTTAGCACTATTTATATTATCGCTTTAATTAATGTTTTATTCCTCATTTTTTGCGAGCAAAAGGAAATTTATTACTTCCTCCGTCTAAGTTGGATTCTGTCATTATGCGTTACCAAATTTGATCGATTTCATTTTTAATTCAACTTAATTGATTCTAGGTGTTAAATTAAAAATAAAACTAAAATAGTAAAATACTATATATTAATTTCTACAAAAAATGAGGGAACATAATTATATTTTTTTATAAAATAAATATTAAATATAAGGAATAAATAAAATAAATAGAATTTGATTATATATATCTGTGTATAATTTAAGGGAAAAGCCAACTTGGACAAATAAGAAGTGATAATACTACTTTCGTCCCTGAGTATTTGTCTAGTTTTGACTTTTTTCCGTTAGATATTGATACAAAGTAATTTTATTAGATTTATTATATCAAATATTTTTTAAATATTATTTTATCGAAAGTAGTGATATATTTTTTAATATCTAATATCGTTTTTATTTAATTTGAAGTTAAAATTTACTAATTTTAATAAAAAAAAGTCAAAAATAGATAAATATTTAGGAACAGAGAGAGTAGTAAAACCCAAAAAACTCTACAGCCCAAAATCCAAAAAGAAAGTACCGAATGACCAAAACCCAAGACAACTTAAAAAGAAAACGGGTCCCAATAAACAAAACTAACAAAAGCCCAAAAAAGTCTTCGCCGAAAAGGCGTGCTCTACTTTTTACCTGTGAGAAGAATAAATCCAGTAAGAACTAAAGAAGTAACGGAGTCTATTCAAAAGCCCATATACATCAGTTTCACTATGAAATTTAGAGAGTGTTTGAGAGTCTAGTGGATATTTTTAATAATAAGCACTTCTAGAGTGTAGGGGAAAGTAGATATTTTTAACTTTGCTTAAAAGCACTTCTAGAGCCCATTTTAGAGGGTGTTTGAGAGTGTGCTGCTTTTAATAATTTAGCTTCTGCTTTGAGTGGAAGTGATTTTACTCTGTTTGGCATGTCAGCTTTTGCTTTTAACCACCACTAATTTGTACATAGAACACTGTTTCGGAGAAGCAGTTATGAGATACTTTTGCTTTCAGCTTTTGTGGAAATCACTTTATCCACAAGTTAATCATTCCCAAACATCCTCTTAGATTAGAGAAGTCATAATCTATAAGCAGAAGCAGATTGGCAAACACAACAAACATTATTTTAATGAAGCAAAAGCTAATAATCAGTTTTTAAATGCAACCCAAAATGTCCTCTTAAGATGATGTAAGGGTCACTGAATTAGGCTATAATGTAATCGGGTTGAAATATATTAAAAAATTAAATTTAATCAATTACTTAGTTCAATTTAAGTGTTTACATACCCATTATTTTTGGTTAAATTTCTAAAATGGTACTCAATAATTATATGTTTTCTAAAATTAGTCCCTAAAATTAACTAATTACTGATTAGTTACTTGTTAATTGAAAATAATGCTCAGTTCAATCTCCCCGACTAACGGCTTCAACGTTAAACCTTATACTACTTTACCAAAATGGTACTTTGTAACCGTGCATTTTCTCAAATTGATTTATTTTCAAAATAAAATTTCATTAATTATATTCTCAAATTGATTTATAATTTTTACTATTATTATTGTTTTTATATTATTATTATTATTATTATTATTATATTTCAACTACAAACCATTATTTTTAATAATTGCTCAGCTTGTAGGAATGATGCATCGAAGCAATGTTAAAGCTTAAAAAGTTGTATTTTTCATACTTTAAAAAGAGTTGTTTTAAAATACTTATTTATAAAATAATTATACAAAACTTAGTTTTCAAAACCATAAATATGTTATACTTAAAAAGACTTACTTTTAAACTTTAAGATGATATAATATATCTAAGGGTAAGTTATGACAAAAATGATAGAGGTAAAAGGAATATTAGTGTTTAAGGTTTTATATGATATTTAATTTGTAACATGAAATATATTACTCGGGTATTATGTAATATGCATATAGAATGTATATTTTTGTAAAATAGCATCTATGTTTTCTAATATTTGGTTATTTTAATTCCGATTATTTAGTTTTCACAAAAATTCAAAAAATAGTGATATTGAAAAGATGTTTAATATTTCAAAAAAAGTTTAAATGTATCAATGATTAGGTGATTTTTTTTACTTTTTTTATGTATATATGAATTGTAATACTTTAAAACTATTAAATATTGAAATATTTTAAGTTTAGTTTAAACCAAATTTAAATTCATTTACATTATATCTAATTAGATAAAGTTAGATCTAATGAGATTAGATCAAATCCAATCAGATCATGTCATATTTAATCAGATTAGATCAGACCGAATCAAATTTAATCAGATCAGACCTAATAAAATCAGATCAAACTCAATCAAATTAGATTTGATCCAATTAGATCAGATCATACGCAATCAAATCAGATCAGATTCGAATTTCAAAAATTCAAATCGAATTCAATCAGATCAGGCGTACGGAACAGAGCCTAAATGAATGTCTCCTACCTACTATTTAGAACTTAAAGTTCCAATTGTACTATCTAAAATAGTGCACATCTAACCCTCTTGTTCTTAAGAAAGACATGCCAGAAACATGTTCCAAAGTAAATACTGATCATGAGTAGCAAATTGCATAGATTTAATTTACAATCTAGAACAAACATTCAACTCATACGTAATAAGTCTAAAATTTCATTTGATGCAGGACAATAATATCAAATTAAATTAGATTTTCTTGAATAAAGTTGAATGGAGAGATTCCCGTTTGAAACACATATTCCATTTGATAAGTTAAGACATGTGCTCTCAGATCCATATATACAATAATTTAAAAAAGAAATTAAAAACTAAAAACTGAAAAAAGTTATAAGAAATTAAGACTAAAAAATGGAAGAATAAAAATGAAGCAAAGAAAAAATTTTGAAAAATGAAGAAGCAACAAACACCAAAGAAACCAAAAGGAAGAACAAAAAAAGGAAAACAAAATAAGAACAAATAAAGTGCTTTATCAAAATGTGTTGCTAGAATGTTTATGTTGACAGTGCTTCGGAGTTGATAAACCAAAAGAAATGGAAAATGAAATAGTGTGGATCTGGAAATTTAATTAGAATAATGGGAATGTGTATTAATAGTGCACAAAATAGGTGGGATGTGCAATCCAAAGTACTTTGCACGGAAATCTACAGATTTAAAAATCTTGTGTAATTATGTTTGCCCCTCAAAAGGCGTGTATGTTCAGCTCTCTCATCCTTTCGCTGCATGGTTTAATATGCGAGACATTTAAACATATATGCCGCCTACTACATTGCGAAAAGGTGATTTTTAAAGTGAAATCACCCGTTATTATTTATGCTAGCAGCCAAAACACACACCCAAATGCCAAATTCATGATGTCTTCACGGCATTTTATAAATTTGTTCATCTAATTTACCCATACTTGCACAATACTCGGTCCACAATGCCTTCTCACCTTACACGAAACCGAAGTGCTTAGGCGGGAAAAAATATTGTTCATGCATTTCCTTTTCTTTTGTATATTAAAAGATTAGAAGGCATATTTTACAACTCCAGGAATGTGAGTGTTATTGAAGTAATCTTCCCAAGTGATGCCTTGTGGGTCGAAATATAGGGTTTCCGCCATATTGGCTTCAGCAATAGCCTTCCTCAATCTTTTCGTGTTCGTGTCATCGAAGCTGCAAAATTCATATAAAATTAAGATTTTTAGTTATAATTCATAGGTCAAACTGATTTTTAATACATTTTCATCGCTCATTTGACAAAATAAAATTACAATAACTTGCACCACTTGTTTTGTAACCTTAACTTTTTAATATTTACAATTTCACAACTACCCCACTTAAACCCCTCGTTTAACATAATTCAGCACTTTTCTTAGGGTTTTGTAGTAAAATTCCACTTTTTTCAATTTACCTTTAAAAACACAGAATGTTAAATTGAGAAAATCAAAACTTTATAATTTTTATTTTAGAATTTCACACCAATCTTCACGTATATTGATTGAAAATAATATTAATCGAATATAGTAAAAAAAATAAAAACTTTATTTTGGGACGGAGATAAAAGAAAGTAATAATTAAGAATTATTCTTATGCTCCGTATTATATATACCGTCCGTAAAACAACACATATGGCGCGTAGAGATCAGCAATTCGCATGACGAGATTGATCTTTTTCTCAATAATCACACACTTTTCTTCGAAATATTGGAAGAGTACCACGTTCAACAACTTCAAAACCTTTGAAAATAATTTAAAAAATGTCCAAATTAAAAGACAAACACGTTAAATCAAACCTAATTAGTTGTAATAGCTAGAGACAACGTTGTCTTCATCATGTGTGTCTATATATATATATATATATATATATATATATAGGGGCCGGTTCTCGTGAGAATGCACCTTGTGGAGAGAAATGAGAATAAAATCTAGCCGTCGGATCTGATGCATCGTGCGGCTCAGATTGCATCCTGCGCTCAGATTTTGAGATAGTGCATTTTCGAAGGTTTATGGTGCATTTCGACGTGATGCATTTTCGCACCATTTTGGTGCATCTAATTTTGATGAAATCTTGACCCTTAGATCTCACAATCTAAAGCACCAGATTTATTCTCATTTCTCTCCTAAGATTGCATTCTCACCAGAACCAATATATATATATATATATATATATATATATATATATATATATATATATAACACATATATGTATATGTATGTGTGTGTGCATAGAGAGAGATAGAGAGACATACCGTAATGATGGGGAGATAACGAATGGAAATGTATCTTCGAAGGTCTTTCAAGGTGGTGAGCAACACAGGCGGCTTGCCCACTTTGACAACCTCCCCAGTCTCTGAAGTCCAGGGATTGTGAGAAAAGTAGATATATAAATAATTCCCAAGATCAAGAATCGTTAATGGATTTATTGAAGAAGAGCTGACGTGGTATATCAACTCTTTGTCACTATATTTCTGGTGATTCCCACCGCTTCCATGGTGCGCAATTGCTCCTAGGATGGAGTTCACCACCATGTCACCTGGAATCTGTATTGCACGTGTGTATAATATTATATATACATGCATACACACAAACACACACATATATATATATATATATGTTCAGGTGAGAATGCGATCTTATGAAAGAAATAAGAATGAATCTGGTGCTTTAGATTGTGAGATCTAAGAGTCATGATTGCATCAAAATTAGGTGCACCAAAATGATTTGAAAATGCATTATGTCCAAATGCACCAAAATCCTTTAAAAATGCACTATCTCAAAATCTGAGTGCAGGATGCAATCTGAGCCGCACGATGCATCAGATCCAAAGGCTAGATTTTATTCTTATTTCTTTATCAAGGTGCATTCTCACCTTAAGTAGAATGATTAAGGGGAAGGTTGAGGAGGGTTACCTTAAAGCCATCTAAACAGGGAGAAGCCAACCCCCCTCCCACCTTGCATATGCAGATGACATAATTTTTTTCCTAAATGGCCATTTCAGAAACATGCTCAGATTCAAAGGGATTATTGACTGCTTTCTCAATTCATCAGGACACATGATCAATCTCAACAAAAGCCATTTCTACACTGGTCCAAGAGTGAAGCCAGAAATCAAAGCTAACATGCAAAGGGCACTTCAAATGGGAGAGGGCAAATTACCTCTAAATTACTTAGGGGCAACCATTGGAAAAGGTAAACTAAGGAAAGAGGATTGCAAGAAAATTGTCCAACACTTTGATGTCTATCTTAACACTTGGTATAGCAAGGTGCTAAACCAAATGGGGCATTTGATTCTCATTAAGCATGTCCTCAGTTCTATACCCTTACACATTATTGTTGTCCAGCAAATGCCCAAATTTATTCACAACATGTTGCACAAGAAGATGCAAAACTTTCTATGGGGATACAAAGAAGGAAGGCCTAAATATCATTGGGTATCTTGGAGAGGACTATGCTTCCCAAAACATGAGGGAGGTCTGGGCATTAGACACCTGGAAGATGTAGAAGCAGCATACTCAGCCAAACTTTGGTGGAAGATTAGGAACTCCCATGGCATTTGGGGAGAATACATGAGGAGTAGATACCCAGATTCTTTTCAAGAACGTCCTAAGGACACTATGACATGGAAAAGGGCTGCAAGGATTCATAACTGGGCCTTACAGCATGTCCACAAAGTGGAAGAAGCAGACACCTGGGAGGGAGAGCCATTCACCACCAAGTTAGCATACCACGCCTGGAGGGACTCTAGGCCTTCCTCTCTTTCTCATAAGATGATCTGGAACAAGCTTCAGATCCCAAAGATCAGCCTGTTTCTGTGGAAAGCTTTCAACAATATACTTCCTTTCCCGGAAAACTTAACCAGGTTTAACCTGGCGTTTCCTTCCCAATGCAGGTTCTGTTTCAACGGTCCGCAGGAACTCGATCAACCATACCCTTTTTCATTGCCAACTGTCTTTCAAAATTTAGAGGTTCTTCTCTGTTGTTTTTAATGGCCCTATTCCTAATAGGGAAGAAACCCTACACGAAACATGCATGAAATGGTGGGTATGCATGCCTAGGACTAAGCTGCAAGATAAACTCAACTCGGTTCTACCAGGCTTCGTTGCATGGGGATTATGGAAGGCTTACAACGAAGAGAAGTACGAGGGGAAAGCTTTCAAAGAAGGGAATATCATTGCAACAACCATGAAGACTATATAACAATGGATATGGATACACAATGGCAAGAAATGGATGCACCTGGATGAAACTTTGAAATCCTTGGGCTTTCGGTTGCATTTTAGCAGGAATAATTCTCAATGCTTTTTTTGTTTAACCTTTTTTATTTGGTGGGGCGAATGCATCTCCCACATTGCTGTAAACATTCCTTGCTTTATTTCAATTCAAATTTCGTATTTATATATATATATATATATATATATATATATATATATATATATAGCTATGGGCATTATTGTGTGTGTGTGTGAACTTCATTTATTAACATAATATATTCCATAGTTATGGGCATTATAGTATGTACACATGCATGTATGGAATTAGTTACATGTACGTACCGCATCGAGTATAGAGTGTGGATCGCCCAACCAGAAATTCGATTTTCCCTTACCATACATCAATACAAAGGCATCCATGGTCCTATCATACGTGCGTCATTGTAAAATTTAGAAAATGAAAAAAACATTATTTAGCAATAGTTAATATTATATAATGGAATAATTGTATTACTAAAAGAATAATGGAAGATACCCCTGAATATGGATAGAAGCTGAGTATAATACAAAGACTATCATAATTAATATTAACTATTATTACTGTATAACATCCTCCCTTAAGTTGAACTTTGTGTCACAAATGAAAGCTTGGAAACAAGATCCTCGAAGCGTGGTTGTGGAAACAATGGTCGTGGTCATGGAAAATTTCCTGGCGGCAAAGGAGGAGGCTGTAAAAGTGGCAGCATCAGTGGCTAATTCCCTCCTCGCGGAATTAATAATGGCTGTGGTCATGGTCCTCTGTGGGTCTCGCCTTCAATATGTCAGATTTGCGGGAAGTTTAATCATGGTGCATGGCAATGATGAAATCGCTACAACAAAAATTTTACGTGTCCCTGAATATACATAATGTTCAAGCTTTGTACACTACTTATCCTACACATGCTATTCAGAACTGGAACCTAAACTCTTGTGTAACTACTCATGTGATATCTGATTTCTCAAGGTTAAATAATCCTGCTCCTTATCATGGCCCGAACTTGGTTTCCACGACTCGAGGATAATCTCTTCCCATACATATCTCATGTTGGCTCAAGATAAGATTCTCCACCTGCAAGTATTTTCACCATATCCAGCCGTTTTCTATGTCACTGACTGAAAACCTACCTTTATCTATTCACTAGTTTACCACTAAAAATAACTGCTCTATTCTTTTTTACATCTAAGGATACTATGATATTGGACAAACATATCAATTGAGTGAAATACAAAAGCCCATGTGAGTAGGGTTTATACACCTTACCATCCAAGTGAGTCTCCTCATTTCCATTCATGCCCACAACTCCACTTGTGGTTAGTGTTTTGAAAACAATGTCTCATCAGTGGCACTGTCAGCGTAGTCATCTTTCTTTTCAAATTACAAAGTTGTTTTTCTCTATATTAAATGTCCCTTCTGAGTCTGATGTGTTTCATTTGGATTCTTGTTCAATGTCAAAGTCACATAAATTACCTTTTTCCTTGTGTACTTCTATTACTACTGCATCTTTTAAATTAATACATTCTAATGTTTAGGTTCTTACTTCTTTTCCCTTGCTTGGAGGATATCAATTCTATATTAATTTTTTGGATGATTTTACAAAGTTCTGCAGGATTTATCCCCTTAGGCTCAAGTCTGATGCCTTTAAGGTTTTTCAAAGTTTTCACTATATGGACAAAAATATTTTTCAAAGTTTTCACTATATGGACAAAAATATGTTTGGCATGGATATTATTTTTTTGAATTGATTGTGACCGTGGAAATGTGAATAATCAATTTGGGTTATTTTTATAGCATCCGGAACTCCTTCATCATGAGTCTTGTCCCGATACACCCAAACAAAATGGAGTTGATGAGCGTAAACATAGACATATCATTTAAACCTAGATGTCTCTTATTCATACCTCCTCGCTCCGTGTCCCCTTTGGGATTGAAGCCTTAGCCACTGCAAATTACCATATTAATTGCATGTCAAACCGCTCTCTCTAAAATAAACCCTCGTATAAAGTGTTATATAACACTCCACCTGATTACTCTTATAGGATAAGCTCCTCCCCAATGGACCTTCAAAATGGACCTGGCGTAGGATGCCTAGGGACCCGTTTGAGGCTTCGCTTTGAAAAGGGCTCGAGGTCATCCCGCATTAAGGACCGAGCACATAACGTCGAGGGTAATCGTGTGGATTCTATTAAGATCTCTTGGACTACTAGCTAGTGATTCAAAAAGGTGCCATGTGACTAATTAAACAACCAATCTCACTACCATAATTATTATTATTACAATAAAATATTTCTGCATGATTATCATCACCAAACCACTTATAACAATCATCTTAATCATCGCACATAATATATCCACTTCGCCTTCCATAACCACATCCACAATTCCTCCTACTATAAGAACCTTCACAATTCACTCCCTACCATAACCATCTCTACCACCCACTTGTAAATGCTCCACCATCTCCCTCACAATAACCAAGTCATTCCTACGATAGTACACTTATGCCCCATGGATTATATTATTACTTTCTTTTCCCATCAAGAGCTTCAAGATTATCAATGGCTTCCACGCCTCATGTATAGTGTGAACTCCTCCCAAATATATAATAAAACATCCTTCTTGGTATGGTACCACCAAAACAGCACGTGTTTTCACCAATTTGGGTTCCTTGTAAAAATATATTTGTCCGCTTACTTATGATTTATACACCCTATTATTCTTTATACATATTCATAAATGTATACTTTTTGTACCTATAAAATAGGTACACTCGGATGGATTAATAAATGTATACTTGGTTCTTAAGTCAGGGACATAGAAGATATTAGATATAGTGAAAGTACCTGCACGTGTATGAACATGTCTTGATCCAACATGAGATCGGGAAAGAGATTCTCCTCCAGCTATAGAAACGGAGTTCGAGCTATGATAAGAGGTTGGATTTTTCAACCTTGAGAAATCAGATGTCACATGAGTAGTTGAATCAGAAGCTGGAATTTGTAGGATAGACAGTTTACAAAACTTGAGCATTATGAGTCTGTTGAGATTGGCTAGAGAAATCTTTATTATAAGACATCCAGTCTTTCATAAACGATCCAAACATATTGATATCGATTGTCAAATTGTTCGTGAGTGCATTCAGGAAAAGCATGTCATCACTGCCTATGTCCCTACACGGTTTCAAATTGTAGACATTTTTACCAACGTGTTGTCGGGTCCTTTGTTTCAATCCTAATTGTCCAAGTTCGGCACTTATGATATCCATGCTCCAACTTGAGGGGAAGTATTGGAGTATATACATATTGTATTTAGTATATTGGTTTATTTTGTTGTTGGGCTTGAGCGTGTTGTAACTTGTTTAAATTATGACTTGTACATCAATGGAAACCAAGTTAGTCATTTCACAAATTCAACATAATTGATCCCAAATTTCTACAATGGTGGAACAGAGATGAACCAGATTTTGGATCGTCAGTGAAAGGAGAGCAAGAAGCGAACATTGAGTTAGGCGTCGATGATCGTCCATGATTTATAGGCCATGCTCGCTTTCAGAATGCATTGCTTGTCGACAGTGACATGATCGTTTTCATCAATGATCCTTTTCATCAAGGATCGCTGACGATGGTGGCATCTCAGTGCCGTCAACATAGCCAGATATGCAATGTGCTTGTAGAGTTGCTTTGAATTGACAGTAGAAGACTAAGACGGATAATTATTATCTTCAAGTGTCACAGGAACAAGCTAAGTGAGTGCAAATTGTGAAGAAAGAGTCTCAAACCTCCAGGAAGAGAGTCGGATGGGTCTTTTCCAGTAGATCCATTTTTCATACTTGGACGTGATGGATGAGACAATGTCGGTTAACGTATGAGGAATACTTCCAAAAGTCGATTAGGCCCGAGGAATAGACAGTGATATGATGTCATTGGCTGTAAAAAGCAGCAAATCTTGGTATAAATGGTGGTCAACCCATGCGAGAGAAAAAAAGAACGGATCGAAACCTAAAGTTCTAATATCATATTGAGTAATCGAATAATTGTATCACTCATAGAATAATGAAAGATACGGTATATGGAAGGGATTTCAAACATATCTAAAATTTTAGGAATCGGGAATTGAAACTGGCTAAAATAAAAAATGTTACCATAATTAATATTAACTATGATTACTATCAAACAATTATGAGTACAAATTAAAGAAATAAGAATAATTTATCTAAATAGGACTAAAACATAATGAATTTCTCAATATAGGACGATATGTTTTTATTTCCCAATGTAGACCATTGGTCATTATCTATTAGTCATTATTCAAATAAATGTCTAGCATCACTTAGACATTATTTTTGTCACTAGTCATTATTAAGTCCTATTTAGGGAATAAAAAATTTTAAGTCCTACATTGGGAAATGACTTATGTTTTAGTCTTATTCAGTGCAAATTTCACAAGAAATAAATACCTTGCGCCTTCAATCCATCCTGGAAAAGGCTCTTTGTAAGTGCTTGTTATGATGGTTGGGCGCAACGTGACAACACATAGTTTCTCCTTATACTTTAGTAACAACATTTCTCCCATAGCCTTTGTGAATGAGTAAGTGTTTGGCCATCCATGCACCTTTGCCCTACACACACACATACATGCATATAATTAACACATCATATCCATATATATTTCCTATCAAGAAATTAATGATCGTCCAGAAATAGTCCCAAAATAAGTGTCCCTTGATTATTGTTACTATTATGGTTTTTCAAAAACGTTTCTTTGTTTGTATATATTTCTTGATCATTTACTAAAATAAAATATTCTTGTCATACCTTATTTCCGGAAATTGTACGTTGTAAGACGAATTGAAGTATGTGTACGTATATGTATGTATGTACCTTTCTATTCCGAGAGATTTCATGGCCACTCTGACTTGTTTTTCAGTTGCGATTAGGGCTTTAAGTTCCAGTAATTTCTCCTCTATAACCTTCTTTTCTTCATCAATGTCTACATAAGTGTCCTCTAGGCGAAATGGGGTTTCTAGCACACTTCCTGTTTTGTCGCCACATACATAAGCTGCAAACGCATTCCTCTTACGTTATGATCAATATGGATTTTTTTGTTAAGAAAACAATATCATTGCTAAAATTACTTGCCTAACTTGGATTCAGAGGGTTATTGTTTTTTTAACACAAACAACCACACGCATAAATAACACGCTGGAGTCTATGAATTTTTCTTCTCGTTCACAATTCACATGATCAAACATTATTAATTTATTTACCAAATTTATTGCTCATTGAATTTGATAACATGATATAGCAATATCACATCTTGTGTTCTAGATCTTTGATTTAATTGGTCTAATATATATACTCCATAATTCTTATTTCTTAATTTCTACACCAATTTTCATATTAAATGATAAATTAAAAATAACTTCAGTAAAAAATCGTAACACGCAACAAGGAACTTTATAGACATAAGAGTAATACGCCATTAAATTTGAAACCAAATGCTAGGGGTACACAAGTTTATTTCCCATTTATTCCATGCACACCACTCCAACATCCACCATACATTTCTAATGGGGTGAACAAAAATTGGAGAATGTATAGAAAACGTATGATGAATAATGGGATGATATGTAAAAGGGTAATTTACCTAAATAGCACTAAAACATAATGACTATCTCAATATAGGATCATATGTTTTTATTCCCAATGTATACGATCATTGGTCATTATCTATTAGTCATTATACAACTAAATGTCCAGCATCACTTGGACATTATTCTTCTCACTAGTCATTATTAAGTCATATTTAGGAAATAAAAAAGTTTAAGTCCTACATTTGGAAATGACTTATATTTTAGTCCTATTCAGTGCAAATTTTACATGTAAAACAGGGTTACAAAATGGTATGCCCCTAGCATTATTCAATTTGAAAAAATAAATTCTGGTATGATAGAGGAAGGAGATTTACTTGTGACGTACCGGTGGACACATGAACAATCATCTTCAGATTGAGGCATTTCTTGGCAAAATTTAGAACATTTATTGCACCCAATGTATTAATACTCATTGCAACGTCATACCTACCATATCAATAGGATTCAATACCAATGATAAGTAGTTACATCTTTATTAAGAGCACTAGAAATACCCAGGGTGAGCAAACTAGGGGTGAGCAATTTAACCGAACCGACCGTTCAACCGGTGCTAAAAAACCGAATCGACCTAAAGTTCGGTTTCGGTTTTAAAAATCTGAAAAATTCGGTTTAGTCGGTTTTTCGGTTTTGGTTTCGATTTTGGGTGGTGGTGACCGAAACTGACCGAATAACCGAGCCCAAAATAATTTTATACCTAAAGTCTTTAATATGTGTAAAGTAAAAGCCCAATCCAATTTTATTATTTAATACACAGCCCAATCAATTTCAGTGTACTAATACAACCCAATCAATAGGGTTAGGCAGTTAGCATCTACTCCCTCCGTTTGGGAAAACCCTTTCCACTTTGAAAATAAGGCAAATTAAGGAAGTGTAAAATTATAGTTGACTTCCAATTTTGCCCCTGATGTGATGGATAAAAATAAGATGTGATGGATTGATTATTAGAGAAAAAGTATGATGTGATAGGTAGGGTATGAAAAAGTAAGGGTAAAAGTGGTTTTTTAATAGAAAGGGGAAGTGTTTTGTTGGAAGTGAAAAAAATGAAAGAGGAAGTGTTTTTGAGAACGGAAAGAGTATTTTTTTATTTGCTCGAGTGTTCACATGAGACTCCATTGCTAATGGTCGTCGCCCCTTCCTCTGCAGTTTTATCTGTCTCCCAAAGTCGGCCAGTTCTTAAATTCGTCTATGGTCTGCCATCGATCGCCATTCAACATAAAGGATAACCCTATTACTCCGCCATCACCAATTCTTCGTAAAGATTCGCACATCGCTTCTTCCATGTTCATCTTCCATTCTTCCATGTATCCTTCAATTTCTTTATCATCCATTCTTTCATTAGCTTGAAATTATAGTCATTTATGTTAAATTTTGAAATTAATAGCGAGTTTCTGAGAATTTGTTTTTTTGGTAAATGTCTGTTCTGGGAAACCGACCGTAACAGATCGGTTACATCGATTTTCGGTTGCTTCGGTTTCATCCCAACTCGGTCGGTTTTTTTTTGCAAAAAAATTTCGGTTAGTTCGGTTTTCAACCGAAGCCACCGAACCGACCCGATGCTCTCCCCTACTCTAAACCTTTTCTTTCTGTCACGTCAGCTTTAACTTTACCTCACAGTTTCAGTGGAAATGAGTTTGAAGCCCCGGGACTTCAAACTGGGGCTTCAAACCTTCATTTTTTATATTTTAAATACACATCTTCTAAAATTAAATTAATAAAATTTAACTATTTAATTATTTAAAAGAAGTGAAACGATAATAGTTCATTAAAAAAATAAATTCATTATAAAAAATTACATTCATTAAATAAAAAATTAAATTCATTAAATAAAAAAAATTACATTCATTAAATAAAAAAATTACATTCATTATAAAAAAACTACATTCATTAAATAAAAAAAATTACATTCATGAAATAATAAAAAAAATACTTGAATAATAATTTTTTTTAAAAAAGATGATAGATAGAGAGAAATTTGTATTTGTGTTGAATTTTTTTTAAAAATAATTTAATTTATAGAGAATAAAAGAGGAAAAAAGAGGGAGAAAAAAGAAAGAAGAAGGCGTCATAATGCCTTCAAATCGAGTCAAAAATTTGACGCAGGTATTTTAACGCACCTTTAACGGGGGAGAGGGGCGGTGTTTAACGCCCCCCCAAGCGTCAAAATGCTAATAACGCCGCTCGGCATTAGGAGTAGTACCACTAATCTAAGGCCACTGGAAATACATCTAATGCCAACCAGCCTTATGATACTTTTGACGCCCAGGGGGCGTTAAACACCGCCCCATGGGGCTTCACCGTGGTGTTATCCTTCCGGCGTCATACGCTTGACGCAGCTTCTCCCCCAAATAACGGTTAATTTAGCCATTGGAAGCAAAAAAAAAAAAGAAAAAAATAATTAATTTTTTTATAACTCCATCTCCTCCCATTCAATTCTCACACCTTTCAATATCTAATTCTCATCAATCTTCTTCACATCTTCTTCAATTCTCCAATGCTCCAACTCTCTTTTCAACATGAATCCTTCCGGCTCCGGCTTCTTCCCCGACGATCTCGAGCCTAACGAGCCCGCCATGTGGATCTTTCAACAATTCGGGATTAATTTAATAAATGTAATTTTTTTATTATTGTCGCTTTCTTTTTTTTAATTTAATGAATGTAATTTTTTAAATTACTGTCGCTTCAATTTTTTTAATTTAATGAATGTAATTTTTTTAATTATTCTTGTTTTAATATAATTAAATAATAAAATAATTAAATTTTATTAATTTAGTTTTAGAAGATGTATATTTAAAAATGTAAAAAATGAAGGTTTGAAGCCACGGGGCTTCAAACCCATTTTCGCTGAATCTGTGAGATAAGTTAAAGCTGACGTGGCAGAGAGAGAAATTTTGAAGTCCCGCTTTGAAGCCCCGGGACTTCACGGGTATTTCTAGTGCTCTAACAATAGGAAAAATAAAGTAATGATTTTCATGAATAAAAATTGGGTTTTCGCCCTTTCATTATAGAAAAAATATTTTAATTACTCGGGCAATCTTTTCATACCGCTTAGTTCTATATTTTTTTCTCGTTTTAACTTTTGTGGTTAATATTTTTAAATTTTGATCATAATTTATAGAAAAATACATTAAAATTTGATATAATTTTAATATCAATAGATTTATTTCGAAACGTTATTTGAAATATCATATTTTATAATCTATGTTTAAATATGTAATAGATATGTTGGGGTTCTTTTGACCTTAAAAACATAGGTCATATTATGACTCGGGACACCTATTATGCTTTGTTTGCAAAATTGATGATTTCAACCTCCTAACCCTCCATGGGTAGGTCGCTGATTTGGAAGTCCAAATCGACTATCTATTTAAGGCCTAAGGGGTATGAGGCTAGGTTGGTGCAGGGGGTTAGTTGGAAGAAACTATCAACTTTATCAACGGAGCAGTGCAAGTGCTCTAATCATAATATGAGTAGGAGTTTTTGAGTTAAAGGAACCTTTTCAGAAATAGATATATTGAAAGTCAAAACATTGCATGGAAGATCGCTGGTGAAAAACGAAATAGTAATAGAATTGAATTTAAGAGCAAATAGCAGTAGGTAGGAACGTATAGTAGCTATAGTAGTCAGTGTTATGTTGTGATTCACGTTTTCTTCTTTGGAATTATATTAATTAAAACAAATTATTATACCTCTCATCAAATACAGTAGTTGCTGCTGAGTTTATGATAAAGTCAACCTCTTCCAAGATTTGATCAAAATTTTTAATTCCCAAATCCGTGAAGGAAATATCTCCGGCCACCGGAAACACCTTCTCCTCCGCGAGAGTGTTGAACTTGCTGCCGTATTTGTCTTTCAAGACTCTGAACAGTTCACAGTCAAAAACCTGAAAACGCATGTATTTGATAAATTACTCCGTGAACTTCTTCCTTGTAATATATAGAGTCAATAATATTCAAATTAAAATAGGAAGCTTACCCCTAGAATCATGGGGAAATTCACTCAGGTTCGAGCCCCAATAGAGGCAGAAACATTGGCTCTTTGTACGTTATTAGATTGAGAGTTTAGTAGTATGGACAAATACTACCTTGTAATAAAATTAATAAGATTCAAAAAAACTTACTCCTTCTAACTTGTGATGTACTTCACTTTGTATACGGCAATAAATAACGTTTTTATGTGCAAATGGAATACTTTTTTCGTCTTATAAAACTATTTCATTTTGAAAAAAGATGGACTTTAAAAATATGTAATTTTAATGTTATTGTTAAAATTCCGGCGGGCCGAGAATAACGGATAGAGTGTCGGGTAAAATTAACCACTTGCATATAAAGTTGGGATCCACAATTCTAACCCAAAAGCTTAAGCTGATAGGTAGGGCTTCATCGTTCTATATATGCTAGTGATACTCATTTTTATTTTCCGATGTGGGAACTCCAACACTCCCCCGCAAGTGGTAACTAGCCTGGCCTAGTTAGCACTTGGATAAACGGGTCTAGCATCTCAATCTCTAATAGCTAGCCCACACAACGGGCGGTGGCATCTCAATCTCTTTTTAGCCAACTCAGCCCAAACCACATACGGGTAGCTCATTTTTGCTAAACCCACATCCAAACAACCAGGAACAATCAAACCCGGACCGGACCTGCTTTGATACCATGTTAAAATTCCGGCGGGCCGAGAACAACGGATAGAGTGTCGGGTAAAATTAACCACTTGCATATAAAGTTGGGATCCACAATTCTAATCCAAAAGCTTAAGCTGATAGGTAGGGCTTCACCGTTCTATATATGCTAGTGATACTCATCTTTATTTTTCGATGTAGGAACTCCAACAGTTATTTTCCTATTTTATCCTTATCTTATCATAGGTAAGTTACAATATGATGAATAGATTAATTATGAATATATGTGATATGATAGATAAGTTAATACAGAGTATTTTAAAAGATATAAGTAAGGGTAAGAAGGAGAATTAATTGAAAATGGAAATCATTTTTGGGACGGTGAAATGCAAAAGTGGAAAAGTTTTTTATTATAACGTAGAAAGTAGTTCTATCACTTTGATTTATTCGAATAATTTTCATAATAAGTCTCAAATAAGTACGAAAATATGTGTGTATGTATGTGTGTATATACCTCAATATGAAATCTTTTGCAAGCAGAATCAGAATCCAAGGCTCTAATAAGAAGGAAGAGCTTCTTGATATCGGGTTGAGTCCGAAGTATCTTCTCTACTAACACTGCATGCATTCAAACATCAATATATTACTCCATATAAAATACTCACACTATATATAATAATAATACAAAAACAGATACTACTTAATATAATTAATTAAAGATTAATTTTGGAGGAAATTAATTAACAACTTGTATATATATACTAGCTATCAGGGAACCAGCTCAACAAAAAACTTAAATTTATGGTTGTCAGCCGAAGAAAGGATTTTACATTTTAACAACCTCAGGCATGGTTGCTTCGTGAAACTTTAATTTTTTAATAAAAAGTTGCTCGTGAGTTTCAAAAATATGACCTCTTGTTTAACAAGGTTTTGATACCATGTCAATTAACTAACTCAAGCAAAAGCTCAAGTTCCAGAAAATTTAGGGTATTATATGACGACGTGCCTTTAGCGAGAAAGCCGGTGGCGCCAGTGATGAGGATGGATTTGCCGGCGAGGAACTCCATTATATTTATATTGTTGAGTTGGAAATAAAAAATGTATGTTTATTTGAATTGATTTCTGCAAGAAGAAGATGAAGAAGGTTTTTAGAGAAGGCAAGGAAGCAATTAAGGGCAGACTGGGCAGTAGAGTGAGGGTTGGTTGAAGGGTTTTAAAAGAAAGGGATAGAGAGGTGTAGGGTCACCGACCGTTTGGGACACGCATGCATGCATTTTGGTCCACACACTGAGACCCTTTAATAATGGGAACACGAAATTCACTTCAAACTTACTCCTCCGTCCCAAGATCTATTCCATTCGTTTTTTGTACTAACTCATTAAATTTTTTTTATCTCGTCTCAAATGTCAAAAAAAACTTCCAAACCAACTCCCACAATAAAAGGATGAATGTGGTAAATTTTAAACATTTTAGATGTAGATAGAAGTATTTTATGGAATGTACAAAAATAAAACATGTAAATCTTTTTAGAACGGAGAGGACAAGTTAAAACCGGGCCCGTCCAATTAGCTACGCAATTATTGCTTGGTCAAAGTTGATAATGAGAACTCCTCCGTCCCTCAGATATTTTTAAACTTTCTTTTTGTTTTTTATGAGGAAGATTTTTTCATTATCTTTTTAATATTGAATATTTAAAATACCATAATTATACACACTTATTTAATTTATTATAACTCACCTATCTCATTTAATATACACAACAACTTCCATTAAAAAAATTAGTGAGGTTTGACTAATACTCCCTATTAGGTTATTTATTTAATTAATTATTCCTTTGTTCTAATTTTTTTCATTTTAATTTATGAGGTTTGACTAAAGTTATTTTCAATTAAGTTTATTTGGTTATACGTATAAAATTAAAAAAAATGTGTGTGTGTGTGTATAAATGAAAAGTTATACAAAACAAGAGTCGACGTGACTATATTATTTTATTAAATAATTAACGAAATAGATCATTAGTACATACCAGGGCAAAGGCATCAATTGTTTTGTACCTTTAGCATCGGTTTTGTACCGATGCAAATACAAGAGATGCAATTGGTCCAATTCAATTGCATCGCTTTGGAAACAACCGATGCCTTTTTTTTATTAATTTTAAAAAAAGGTATTAGCATCTCTAAACAACCGATCGATGGCTTTGCTATACTTTGTTTTTTAAAATATTAATATAAAAGCGTACTGGCATCGGTTGTTTAGCTACAACCGATGCCTTTGGTGTTTTAATTTTCTAATTTTTTTAAAAAACCGTAATTGCATCGGTTTGTCAGGAAAAACCTTTGCTATATTTAATTTTTAAAAATATTCAGAAAATGGTATTAGCATCGTTGGTGTAGAAATAACTGATGTTTTTGGTGTATTAATATTTAAAAAAAGATTTTAAAAATGTATATTTGCATCGGTTCGACCGAAACAACCGATGACTTTGATATATTAGTTTTTAAAAAAATATTCAGAAAAGGGTATTAGCATCGGTTTTTCAGTAAAACCCGATGCCTTTGTTAAATATATTAAAATTTTAAAATGTATTTGCATCGGTTGTTATTAAACATCTGATGCGATCTTGAGTTTAATTAAGTAATTAATTGAAATCAATCTTTTAATGTGGTTCCACGCATGTGTCTTATAACGAGTTTAGTGATCCCAACCCAATTCTAAATTCTTTTGTTTTCTCTTTTCAAGCATCTTTTCTGTTTTCTTTAACTTGGTAAACTTTCGGCAAGGATGAATGCTACCTAGTAAAGGGCACTAATAAATACGACTATATATAAAGGACAAGGTTCCCATGACATTGGGAACCAATGTCATGCGATGACCCGAAAATTGACGGTTCCTACCCCTCCTAACCCCCCCGGTAAACCCCCCACCCCGCCCCGACCCGAACACACCCCCCCCCCCACCCCCTTCAATTGCACCCCACAAGTTAGCACCTCTTTCTTTGATTTTATTTTTTCAAAAAAAATTCAAAGTGTTGAAAAAATATGGTGAGCTTTGCCTTATAGTTTGGTGAGCTTTGTAGTTGTCCTTGTGTGAGCTTTGCAGTTGGCAGTGGTGAGCTTTGCGTCAT